AGAGAGAGAGAGAGAGAGAGAGAGAGAGAGAGAGAGAGAGAGAGAGAGAGAGAGAGAGAGAGAGAGAGAGAGAGAGAGAGAGAGAGATTCTTCTGATCTTCATCTTCCCATCTTCAACCATGGGCACTGTTAACCTGGAGAAGTAAAAAAGAAATATCAATGTCATTTGTTCCCCTCCCTAGCTGCCTCTACATTCACACATTGTCCAAAGCCAACTACAAGGTTGTCCAAAAACAATTTGTCACATAGCAAGTCCTCCCCCATTAACAAACTCTACTTCATGTTGCAGGTTCTCTGGGAATACTGGACCTTGTCCTGAGGATGGTACTGAGGTCCTCATGCACTGGCCACCTGCTACAGGATATGTAGGCCCAGGGAGTAGTGAAGTCATTGTGAAAGTGTGTAATGGCTTGAGCAGAGTGGTGCAGAAAAAGAAGGTGTGCAGATTCAAGGAGGTTCGCCAAAAAGACTGGTAAACCTCCTGTCCCAAAATACTTGCAACTCTATTTCACGCATGCAAAAAACTTCCCTTCCTGGCATCCTTCAGACCAACTGGTGGGAAAAAAAAAACTGCCGCAAAATCCTCTGGCCTCACAAAACATAAGAATAACTGAATCCTGGAAGCTCACCAAAAACTTTCACCGCATTAGCACGTCATTTCATCTGAACTCCTCCTCCCTGCATCTCTCTCTTCCTCTTCCTCTTCCACTTCCACTGACTGGTGGCAGCCCCTCGTCCGCTGGGGCACTGCTCAAGCCATTACACACTTTCACAATGACTTCACTACTCCCCGGGCCTACATATCCTGTAGCAGGTGGCCAGTGCATGAGGGCCTCAGTACCATCCTCAGGACAAGGTCCAGTATTCCCGTAGCATGCTTCCTTTTTTCTCTGAGGGGATAGCCCCTGACCTTATTGTGTCTATCTGATTCCAGCAGGAATAGCCCCTGACCTTATTGTGTATATCTGATTCCAGCAGGAATCGGACGCATGACCTGTTTACTAACAGTTACATGTGCGTACCATTCAGCCACATGGGCTGGGTCTTCCTGTTGCATACTTCATGCGATATCAGTTCAGATTTTTGGCTGGACAGAACCACGTGGTTAAACCCCGTCTCCTGACAGTGACCTTCATCACACGTGGATCGGTACCTGCTCATTGAAACGACGTTGCGTGCCATCACGCTGGTGTTGTCTGTGTGTGTGGAGAGGGGGGGGAAGAGAGAGAGAGAGAGAGAGAGAGAGAGAGAGAG